CGTATTTTTCCTCGTGTGGAATGACAGATGATGAATGCTTGTGTTACGCAGGATGGCATCTAATAGACGCCGTTGCACATGTATTAGGACGGAACCGATTTGTTTCGTCATTTGGCATCAGTGGATGCAAATACAGTCGGGGAAAATGTAGAGAGAAATGTAATGAGAGGTGGGTTGAGTGAGCGAGCGATAGATATAAGCATAGAGAGAACTAGATAAAGAGGGCGCATGCCTCCGCGTGCGTACGCGCGTGCTTGAGTCTGTGCATGCGTGATTGCATGCGTGAGATAGCGAGCAAATAAGAAAGGGGGCGAGGAGAGAGAGAAAGAGGGAGAGCGAGAGAGATAAAAAGAGGAGAAAGGTGAGTTAAGAAATAAGTACAGTGGGAGACTGCGCTTGTAAGTGATGTATTAACATTGTTGGTTTCTTTCATCAGCTGTGTGTGAACACCGTTGTGTTATATTGTATATATAGATATATTATATTTAACCCCACTAACCTGCTGTGATGAAGTGCCTTTTTTAAATACCAAAAATTTCAGAGCAGGAAAAGTGTAGTGTAAACTGCTATTTTTCCATAAAGTTCTAGACTATTTTACAATAAGCTTGTGTGCTCGAGAGGAAAAGCAAACGTTCTTTTCAATCTATATTAGTATTGGCTTAAATTAGGCAGGTAAATAGGCTAAATTTACTAACTACCTGTAGGTATAGTAAAATAAACGTATGAGCGACGTAGCAGCTAAGTGTATGTAATAATAAGAGAATGATGTTAATTCGCTTCTGTAACTTATATCACGAGCTCATATGTACTGGAGCAATAGCATGCGGTCTGTATGCAAATAGTTAATGTGCTCTTGCTTATATATATATATATATATATATATATATATATATAGTATACAGTTAATGGTGCAATTATATAATACGCGCGAAGTACCGTGTGTAAACCCAATCGTAATATAACGCGGTTAAATAGCCCACGCAGCCGTTTAAAAAACAGGCTTTATGGCACTCGTGTACTCGTGTTTGGGGTGCGTGCATGTGAGTATTTTTACTCATGCAGGTGTGGCCTAACAACACCCACGTAGTTATCCTCATGTAGCTGAAGAGACGTATATACATACATAAGCCCTCTATTTAGCATGCCTGTATTTGTGTAAGCATTTATTTTAGACGTGTTTGGGGGCCTCTTCATCAATCATGAAACAAAACCACAACGACAATAAGTGCGATTGTTTCATTTCGAGACGAGTGGAAATAACGAGGTAGTGTTTTACGGTAGGAATAGTCGAACAACAGCACCTCTTGAACTATATATGTAGGCTGTGTGGAAGCTTGACGCGTGCCGGCAGTGACGCCTGCAGTGGGCGTCGTAGGCTGCTGCGCAGGTGATCACGTGGCATGCGCCTAGTTCCCACAGCGGGTATCTATAGGTTCAGTATTATAGCGTGCCGGTCCTTGGATTTAGAGCATTAAAATGTGCTGGATCTATAAAACAATAGAAACTAAATTCTTGTCGAGGCGATGGCGCATGCGCAACCAGTGACGCGGACGCTCGAGGTGCGCTAGAAACGAGCTTTTATGGTAACATATAAATTACCTATAGCGCTGTATGAGTGGGGTCGTCGACTGTTGCGCACCTCCCACATACCTGAACGCCTCCTCCCGTGCTTCTGAAATTTATACTCCCAGTCGTTGCATGTTGCCTTATCCGACGCTAATCGGCCACATAAAGCTGCATGTATGGCATGACTAGCGAGTTTCTGCGTGCATCTGCCCTATCCGAAACTAGGCTGTCACGTAATGTTGACGTGGCATTTCTTATGCCACATATCAAGAGTAGATAATAAAACCTTTTATTATTTACTCTTGCACATATATACCTCGTCCTCCTTCACCTGCTGGAATAATACGCACGCATACACGCACACTCACACATGCGCGCTCGCACACACACACATGCGCGCGCACACACACACACACACACACACACACACACACACACACACACACACACACACACACACACACACTAATTTGCATCTTCCGTAGACACGAGCACGGAGGAATTCTGGGTTGTAACTTGTAAATGAAAATCTTGGGGATTCGTATATATGTCTATGACTGGCGCTATACGTTCACGATTACGTAGATCGAGTGCTTCGAGATACGTTACAACCCTCTATACTACTACTAATTGACGCTCTCCGAGCTGTCACAAGATATAGGACATATACGCATGTAGTTTTCGCTCCCTGTCGACATGATCGCATGCATGTATGCTTTTATTTTTTCCCCATATTTTGTGCAAATGACCTGTTGACGGCGCGTGGCGTTGAGCCGCCAAGTTGCGCGCGCTTCGTCAGGTGCTTAGTTGAAACTCTACGGACACGCTAGCACTCGGCTTGTGAATACGCGTGCCCTGCGTGGTTTGCAATTTGACGTCGTAACTGCAGTTTGCCCGTGTATTTGAATTCGTCCCGCTGTGATTCTGTGGTTGTGAGTGTTTCCGTGTATGTGCCACCAGGGGGCGACGTGAACGCGTGCCGATTGCCGATGTGTTTTAACTTTCGTCGATGGTGTGGCGTCGTGTTAGTTTCTTAAATGGATATATATATATATATATATATAATATAATCACATAGAACAAAACCGTCTACGTAGTAGTTGCCGAATGCAGGGACGTGAGTGGGGGAATTCGAACTTTGAAACTTTTTTGCCGGCTGCGTCGGGTATATATTTTATCAACTGCATTTGTTACCTCTGTACACACGAGACCTGTCCAAGAAATGTTGGTGCTGATATTTTGATCTACTATATATTTTTGGCGCGATCGTGTCGTAGTTGTGAGCTAGCATGTGCTCACTTGCTCATCTTAAGCTGTTTCACACGTTGCTGTTTCTGGCTTCTCTCGCGCCGCCTCGCATTTTCCTCCTAAATTGTGTTCTAGGATCTCATTACCTCATTTCCCAGTGTCGCACGAAATGGGAAATTGACGAAATCCATAGCTTGAGCTAATACGAGATTAGCTCTTCCATTGCAGCCCTTCGCACAGCCATAGGTCATTATGGCAGTGATAATTACAGAAGTGTCAGTCCAGTAATCCATTTCGATGGCGGCGTAGAAAAGTAAGTGTGCGCACAGAGCTTATAGGATCGCTATGCTGCCCCATCACATCCTCAATGATGTAACCCGTTTACCTTTGATGTGGTGTGTATGTGTATATGGTAGTATGTCTACCTGCGGTCAGCTCCCAATCCTGCTTACGACACGTCTATGTTTTGTAATAATATGAATGTCATATTCTTATAAACATTTTTAAGGGGCGCATTCTGACATTGCTCCAGTCGCTCGAAGGCACTCTCCGTCTGGCACTTGCATGTGTTACGAGTTCCAATAAACCGTACATACAAAAACCATTGAGCTGCGTATGCGCCAGTGAAGCGCTGCCAAGTATACTATCACTACCGTGTGTAGTGGGCTGTTAAGAAAAAGAGCGCGCAAGCTCTATTAATCGCTGGTGGAGGGGTTCTGCTGCAAACTGGGAGTGCATGAGGGTACCTCAATGCCAGATTGTGTCCTATTAAATCCTTGTCAGCTCCTTTCTCCGCCTTATAAATTATAATGAAGGTGCTACCGCAGTGACTGCCATTTGTGGGGACATCAGACTATTTTGTGCTACGCAGCTCTGCCGGTAGTTGTCGTTTCATGCTAGTTAAATAAGCACCTACTCTAAACGCGTGTCAACAAAACTGGATGCTAGGGTTTTGTCGAGTGAACGCCGTTAGTATATCTTCATGTAATGCACGTGTTAACGGCAAGTTGTAGTTGTGAAATCTAGTATTATATTCCACTATACCCTTATATCGGATATGCTGCTGTTACCTGTAGTATTACATGTCACTGTTAACTATTTAAGTATATTCTTCTATGTTACTTTACGCAAACCGAAAATACCACAGACAGCCTAACCGCATATATATAC